GGCTCTGTGCATTTGCCAGCGGTTGGACAAACAATACTTCTGTGTTTCAGCTTTATTGGAAACCTTTCTGTTGTGGGAGTCTGACCGCGTGTGTCCCTCTGCTCAGGCAACGCAGAGGTGCGAGCGTGTGCCTACGAATTCATTGGTGATTTCAGGAGCACGTGCCTCTGGGGCTGCCTACAGAACCCACATGAAAGCAGCTGCCAGCAAGCCTGGCGTGTTCCTGCGAGCCTACGGAAGGACGGAGATACCGGCCTGCAGAGCCAGTCAGTCTCTGTAGATCAATCAGGGAGTAAGAAGCTGAACAAGGCCCCTCCGTGAATAATTACGTTCATCTCTGAATAAATGGTGTTGCCGGCTCATATGGAAGTCTGATGATATATGATATAACTATGAAAATGTCAAAGCTCCACTTCCCCAAATCATGTTCTGACGTGAAACCTTGGCTTCCACTTAGAACTAAAGAGCCTGAGATCCTCCTGTTTGCAAGGACGGCTTGAAAGGTGGAACAACCAAAAAAGCACAAATTGGAATGCAAATGAGATTTGAAAAATGCAGGGCTCTTCCAGTTTGGGGAGACTGATTGTTTTGGTCGTTTTGTTATTGCTTGCAGGGGACATTGCAGACGTGTGAACTCTTACAGAGCGGTAAATACTTCCTCACTCAAAGTGAGCCATGCTGCACGCTCTTCACATATTCAAAACCCGAGAGAAGTCTGAAACTCCCACAAAACCACAAGGTTGACTTGTCAAACTGTTTAGCAGTGCACTGGGGTTACTTCGTTTGCCTTCTGGTTTTAAGCACCCGAGTCCTATTCTCACACCACTGCTACCTAAGCAGGAGGGCTAGATTATTTTTATTTATTCCTTCATATTTTTTTTAAATAATAAAAAAACAGCACTAAGATTCTCATGTACTTGTAAAACTTCAGGAACAACTCCACAAAACTAGGGCAACAGAAAACATGCCAAATACTTCAAGGCTTGGCAATAGTGAGTGCCTGCCTGTCTCTCTGTGGCAGGAGGAATGGCTGTCTGTCTCAGCCAGTGTTTCTGAGTAAGAATGTCTCATCCCGATAGCCTGTGTACATATAAAACACCTATGCTGTCGGCTCTCCAGGAAGAGACCTTGACATTTTGCAGAAAACCACACCCCCATCTCCCCTGAATATCAGCAGAAGGCAGAAAAACCTGGTAGATCTGAAAATGCAAGAATCAGGTGCTGCCTTCAGCAAGAATTAAAGTCAAAATGGAAGAGGTGGTGAAATAAGCACTGGCTGAGTCACTGGACTTGCAGTACCAAGGAACCGACTTCCAGGTTTCCCAGACCCATGTCCACAGCCAGCCTGTCCCACTCCCTCTTTCGTGAGCCAAGAGAAGAGATATTCGGAAGGGGAAGAAATTGAGGCTTTGCTATCTTAAAAAGGATAAATAAAAGATAAATGGTTTCAGCATATACTGTATTATCATTGCAATGTTATGTGCCTCATGCACCTGGAGAGATAAACTGCAACCTGCTCTCTGAGGTCTAACTTTATGGCAACTGGGCTGGCATGGGAAGATGAGCTCTGCTCTCTGCAGACAGAATAACTGGATTGCAACGTTCTCTTCCCAAAAAGAGTAATGAGGTGCCCAGAGAGCCTGCAGAGGTGTCAGAGAAACAGACGCGGTTAGACCCCTTGGAGGCCAAAAACAGATTAAGAATAACACAATACCAGCATAACAGCACCTTATCAACAGCCTTGCAAGTGCTAAGAAGTGGAGGCTGAGCGAAGGCTGTGACACCTGTCTGCATCGCAGCCCTGCTATCGCTGCCTTCCGACTTCCCACACAATCCAAGTGTCCAAACAGCTTTGAAGCAAGAAAGAGAAAGACAGGCAGGTGAATCTGAACTCCAATCAGCTGTCTGAAGAGATGGTATGAATACCTTGTGTTTCAGTAACACTTTTCATCCACAGTATTTCTGAGACATCCGTTCAACCTCAACACTCCAAAACACAGAAGTAATATCTGCCCAGGTAGAGATGGGCAAATAAACACAAGTTAAATGACTGTTCAAGGTCGTCCAAGGACTACGAGAGAGAGACACACACTTCTAGCAAGTAGATTACTCTTCCCTTTTGAAAGGCACACACACACTCGCACACACAGGGGATTGAAACTGCTTAGCCAGGTGTGGAGCCTGCTGTGATCAACACAGCTTCACTGAGCAGCAGCTCCTCTTGCTGCTGTTTCGCCGGTGCTAAAACGTAAAAAGCAAACCTTCAGAACAAAATTCATTCAAACAGATGCAAATAGGGATGGGGGATTTTGCATCTGGGCTAAGTTACTACAATCTACACATCCTATTTGTCTGCTAGTTATTAAATTACCCACAAGTCATCAACAATTCAAGTCTCTCTCTGAGAGGCAGAGATTAACTAGGAATTGCTATGCAGAAATGCTGCTCATCTCTTCTCTAGCGAGATCAGCCTCATGATGAGTTGCAGATATTTAGGAACAAAGGTGAGCTTTCCTGCAAGAAATGAGACACACAGAAAGATGGGAAACTGCTGCTACGGGAAGAAGAGGATTTGCATGGCAAGAATCTATCAGGAATGGTTTCTCACACACACTACAAACCACGGACTCTGATCAAACACACTTGTGTATCTGGAGCACAGGAAGCTGCACTTCAGTCCAAGCACTAACGTAAATGAGATTTTCAGTGAAAGACAATGAAGCCCATATGTAAATATTAATTTAACAATCTAGTTGACAAAGCCTCAACTGATCTATAAATAGCTGGTTTATTAGCAGGTGATGCTGAAAGCAGCTATCCTGGCTCCCCTTCCCACAATCCCCCATGCCACCTTGTTTTCATTGACCCCAGAGACACGACAACTCTTAACTGTATGCAGCTTGTTTCTCCACTGCTACCTGCAGAGTAGCTACAAACACTTGACAACACAATACATATTTATCAAGGCCTTACATGACAAGGATCCTGCGGCACTATGCACACAATGGCTCACAGTCCTCAATTAAAGAGAGCAAATGGTTTAGAAAAATAGAAAAATCATGCAGCCTTGCTTTTAATCAGGAGGCAGCTGAGGAGCTGGTCACTCAGGTACCATCAAGAATTTAGGGAATGATTGACATAGAGCCAGAGCCAGGCACTATCCATCCACATTTACACTGCACACTTGGCAAACAGAGCATCTAGGATAGCAACACCTTTAATAACTCTAGGCCACCAAAAAAGCATTTTGCCATCTCAAAATAAGAGGTCAAAATCCTGATCTCTTTTCCCCATTTTATTTCATCTGGAATTATTATTTTATAATGCATAATAAACCTTACAATTCTTTACCATCTCTTTGGGCCACACATGCAGGAATCCCTTCATTCACACAGGCACGGGGCAGCTATTTAACAGCAGACAGGAAGGAACATCACACCAGAGTTTAGGGCCAGCAGTCAAAAATATTGCATCCTGGTGAAGCTGCTGTGGCATTTGGATCAACACAACAGAATTGCCCTGACTGCAGTATGGCCAGCATCCATGGAAACCACGTGAATTATGATGTTTTAGGCTATTCACGTGGATCTGTATATGTTCTCCAGAAGCCTTTTAAAGCCTCAGTCTTCCCCTTGCTGCAAAGAACAGTGACAACATACTTGACGGGTTGGGCTTGTAAATAGGCAGATTGAATTAGAGGAACAGAATGGACTTTGTTATCCCTCCCTCCCTCCCACTTGCTTCAAGATTCTAAGAAACCTTCTGAACACAAGAAGTTACTATGTTTCTCCTAGCCATATGATACGCGAAAAGAAAAAATTAAAAACCACGCAATCAACACTTTTTTTTTTTTTTTTTTTCCATAAGGTCCATCATATTTTCACAGCTGGTACAGTGTCAGGCTCTAGAGTGTACCCCGGCACAGACCTGCACCCCCGCTGCCCAGGCGGCTAAGCCAGGAGCGTCTCCCGAAGACCGACTTGTGCTGCCGTGGCACGGCAGATACGCTCTGAAAGGTCGCAGGGATCCGCGCCGATGGCAGCGTGGTTCCCTGTGCCGCGGGCTTTGGACACGGGGCCGTTCCTGCATTTGTCTGAACAACAGATCTTTACAGATTTTGGTTTATAGAAAAGTTTTAAATATATGGGTTAAACTGATATTTATAGGATTGCGACCCTGTGATGGTCTTACAGTATGGTTTTTAAGACCGTCGGGGACTGTAGAAAGGAAAGTTTTGCAATAAAAGTCCGATACCAAACTATCTTCTCCGAGTGGATGCACTTCTGTTTTCCATTATTTATGGAAATAAGATAGAGAAGTTTGACTTAGCAGAATAGAAGCTTAAAATAAAGCCATGCTCAGAAACCCTGCGGAATTTAGCAAGAAAAGTGTTACACATTGCCAAATCGATCAAAAATAAAGAAATTAGTTGTTCTCATTAATCAACTAGAAAAACACCTAGTATAGTAATAGATTTGCAATCATCTTTCCTATATTATTTACTCTAATAAAACTGTCATAAATCTAATAGCAATAGACGTAAGCAGCACCAAGGAAGAACTGCAACATTTTACATAGTTCAGTAAATGCAAGATGCTGCAACAAGGCATCAAAACAGCCTTCCCAGGAGAAATCCACACACAGTTGCTGTCTCATTTGCCTTTGATGTAAAGCTACATATAAACCTGCAGTGACAAATGACCCACAAGAAGCTTGTTCTCTTCCCCAAACCTCTACATGTGCCATTTTCTGTAGCTCTTGCAAAGTTGCTGCTTCCTTTGTCCGCTGTCTCCTTTTCACACCAGCATATCCATTGCCCAGATCCTTGATTTCACAGCCCAGCCAGTAGTAATCCAAGAGCACTTACAAGCGAGGACCGAGCAAAAGTTCAACTAAGTTTGGTTCTCTCTGAAGCAAATTTCGAGCAACTAGAGCACAGATGAAATCCAACTTATCCAGAGTAATTCATTCTTCACGCTTGTTTAAACATGGTCACTCACCGAGGACAGACTGGCAGCCTTCTCTGTGGGTTGTAGACTCCACCACACTGCTCGGAACTGTGCTGAGACAAGTCCACGTCACACGTCAGTGGAGATGGACTGCACCCTTCAGCTCTGGGATGGAAAGATCAAACTGCTAGATAGGTTCTCTTCCTTGCCGGGTACACTGATTTTTATCAACGGGAAAAGCCAATTAAAGTTGATAAAGACACATTCTCTGCTGATTTTTCCTTACTGCCCACTGCTCAGTGCTAGTATAATGGATAATGTTCTGCCTGTGGGTGTATTTTCTAAGATCTGTCAGTTCTGACAGCATTTTGGCACCTGGATAACTCAAGATCTATACTGAGGGTCCAGGAATGCACCATTTCTCAGTAGCTGATGGGTACATTTTTCAGCAGGGCTTCCTTAATTAAAGGGCTAGAAAGAGATGGGATCAGATTGATAGGTTTTGCAGTCAGATGTTTTACGCTTAGTTTGATGAATTATAAATCACCTTTTGCAACTTTTGGAATACGTGAGAAGAGCATGCAAGAGATACTACAGTAATATGTCCAAAATATCACAATATAATTACTTATTTTCAAATTTCACCTCTGTCCCTATGGCAAGACTGTTAAAGACATACTCAAGAAAAGCAATGCTCATTGACCAAAAAAAAAAAAATATATATATAGAGATACAGATATATAAAAAGAAAACATGCTATGAAATGAGACACTGCTGCTCTGGAGATACTCTCACATGGAAATGTTTTGCCCTAGACAGGACACAAAAGGTGCAGCCCTCCTCCTCCAAGCATCACCCTAGGCTGGGAATACCATACTGGTATTGAGTGCCTCACACAGCTCAATAAGCAACCTCCCCTGTCAGACCAGCAGGAAGTTTTGCCTCATCCTCAGCTGTCACAGCCTTCTCTCAGGGCTAGAGAAACCACTATCATATTTAATGCTTTGACTTTAATACCTATAATGTGTGAAGACACTGTATTCTGTGCTGGTTTCATTGTCTCTGCCTTATATATAGTGAAATATAACTCCAGAGAGGCCAGTGGCAAGATCTTTCAGAATAACCACAGCTTGTTCTGGTCTTAACGGGATCTGAGTTCCTCTTGGGGAAAACTGAGTACTGAGCTCCTCTTGGGAAGAACACCACCATCACCACCCCCCAAAATAGGATGTAAGAGCCCAGTATCACCAAATGAAAGTTCACAAGTTCCTTGCAGTCAGAGTGTTGTTCAGACCAATATAGCCCTTAAGCTACAGAGAAGAAAGTCATAGAATAACCATCTGGAATGGGGAAAAAATATTTGTTGGTAATTTAAAACACAAAACCAAAGAAATACAATGCAGAGCAACCAGGATGTGAAAAGCATTTCCAGGCACTGAGAGGTTAAAACAATTATTTGAACAGCTGGGAAAATTAAAATGGTAAAATAATAGCTACCCTTCAAAATTCTACAAATGCAAAGAGACTCTTCAATGAATAACTGATAAAGGGGAAAAAACATTTTAAAAGAGAAACTGTTTCACGCATGAAGGTCATACAAGTAACAGCTCCTCTTAAGAACCTGGAATTTCAGACTTGGCAAAAGATAAAGCAGTGGGGTTGACACAGCAGCCTTTTACCTCTAGGGACCCAGGGTCAAATCCTGAATGCTTTAAGTTACACATGAAAGCGACTCTGGGCATATCCTTTCTAATGCTTTTTTGGAAACTGTTCCCCACCACAGCAAAAGCAAGGTCACATAGGATCACACTGGAATTGTTGTAGCAGTTTGTTTGCTTTCCTAAGGAATTCTCCCAGCATGGGCACAGCCTCAAACGGCTGCAGCAACTGGTGCAATCAGAGCAGCCAGTTCAGGCGATTTTACTACCCCGTTATCCAGGGCTCCCCCATACACACAACCTTGCTCTAGTAAGAATGTGGCGGTATGTAATTTTTCAGAAAAAAATGACAGTCTGCAATGAGCAGTTTGACTATTCAGGAAAGTTCTGTGAGGAAGAATAATGCCAGTCAGGATTGCAGTGTATAAGCTATGGTGTACACCATGCTGCTCATCAGGACAGGGTACATGGACAGACATATCCAGGGGACCCAAAGCTCCAGCAGAGACATCTTCAGGGCAGGGAGGAGCTGAAAGAACACAGCCAAGGAGGGTCTATCTGCCACCTGGCTCCAGTTATCCTTCTTGTGGGCAATGAATCCTCTTTCTCTACTAGCTATTTTAAAACCAGAAACCAAAGATTTTCAGAAAGTAGAGAAAAAATTGACAACTGAATATGCAGCACTGCAGAGAAGTCAGCTGCACAGTGCCAGCTCTTGTTTCCACTCCTCACCCACTTCAAATGCACCTCTTCCACATAAATACTGAGCAAACTGTTACAAGGACAGCAACTGAACATACCTCAGAGTCCAAAAACACGGATCCTTTGACAGCAAAAGGCAGAATTGGAACAGAAGTCCAAAACCATCCACCCCAGCAGTCAATTCTTCTATCATTCACACATATCATTTCACCAGTCTCCAACTGGAAAGTCTTAACTACCACCTTTTTTTTTAAGTCAAAGAAAGAAATTAGACAGCATAAACACTGAGATCCTCTTAGAAGAGGATGACTTCTCCAATCAAAAGAATTTAACTAAGATGTAGCTTCCTCAACCTGTATGTTTTTTCTCTCTCCAGAGTAGACCCTACTTCGGCCTTCTCTGAACATGGTCATTGTACATTTCCAGTTAACAAACATCTGGTATCGACTCCTGGTGATGTCGGGTATCTCCTCTGATGGGCTAGGCTGCTCACTAGTCAATGATGTTAAAAGAAAACACGAAGAAGATGAGCCTGCAGCCTCCCTCACAGTTCTTGCTGAAATCACCTTGAACACCCCCAGCTACACAGACCAGGTCTGAACACTTTAAGGATCAGAAACATGCAACACGTTGCAGAAAGGAGTAGTTCTTACCCTGTATCTATGCCAAACCAAAGTAGCCTGGGTCACAGAAAGCAACAGGGCTGACAGAAGGTTTCCAACAGAGGTCTTGACCTTCCCATGGTCCTGAGAGACCCTGTGACACATTTTTACAAGAATTAGGACCTGGTATTCTGCCAAACTACATATATTTTGTCTAAACTAAAATTGTGACTGCAGCTTTAATTCAACATGCTCTCCTTCACTTCTGATCCTCATCTGCTGGCAAGAGCTGTTGGACTGGTAAGCACCTGCCTTTTTTTTTGCCCTTTACGTGACTACGTCATTGTGCTGCCTGAACAGATGCCAGCAGCTAGAGTTCCACAGCACAAACATTTAGGAAATTCACCAGCTGGGTACACAACCTGCCTTAGCAGAGCTGCTACTCCTATTGGGAGACCTGCAAATTCTTCTCTGGTGCCTTGTCGTGGCACTGGTTGTGATAAGAATGAGGAACTGGGATATCCCAACTTGACCCCTCATCGCATCAGTGTGATGATCAGTCATCAGTCTTTTACTTGCCCAAGGCAAACAGCATTCTGCAAGGTTGATGTATAGCTAAGTAATGTAATTTGGGATCCGTCAGGGTTAAAAAAAAAAAAAAAAGTGCATAAATCTGACAGGATGAGAAAGAAGCTGAAGCAGAAAAAGAAGGTGTGAGTCTTACACCAGCACCCACACCTTTCTACCCTCCTTCCACGGAGTCTCCGAATCTTACCCATGTTTCCTGGAGTCAAACTCCCCTGTGCCAAGCAGCTTTCATGTTCAGTGAGGAACACAGGAGGATGCAGAGGATTACTCTATGTCGTTATGAGCTTCCGGTACACAGAACCCAAAGACTTCTTTTGCTCCTCTGATCAGCCATGTTCAGATGCATATTTAAAAATAAGACAGACACTGAACTCAGTCTTGCCCCCCTGAGGGAACTTCAGCCTCCTCTTTCCAAACCAGCAGTTCCGTGCTGCAGGGAACAGGCAGGCTGGTGTCAGCTTCAATACAGATTTTTAAATGAAAGAAATGCATACGAAGGGGACAGAAGAGAGGAGAGGAGAGGAGGGGAAAGAAAGGAGGGAGGAAGAAAGTGCAGAAACACTGGAAGGAAGTAGATGAAAAAATTAAGACAGAGGGGAAAGGAAAAATCTGAGCCCAGACTCTAGAAAGAGGTGAATAAATAAAGAGATAGGAGAGGAGGTAGCAAAACCAGGCAACAGCATATCTCTAGCTTGCTTGCACATACTACAAGAAATATCCCATAGATGGCTAGAACTGCTCATGCTAAGTAGAGAGGAAGACATCATTCACTACCCACAGCTTGAGTTTCAATCATAGAACATCACAGAAGAGCCCTAGAACAATTTACTCTTGTCTACAGCTCAAACATTTGCTATGCACTGTCCTGACCTAATGGAGACCCCATCCCAGTGCTAGCATAGCATTCGTAATGATCTTGTATTTGGCACATCATGAAACAAAATAAAACAAACAAAAAATGCAATGGAGAAAATAATTTGGCAATGCTGTACAGCACTTGATTCTAGTGCCAGATGGTCAAAATGGGGATTCCTCCATCTTCATGTTTCTAGATCCTGCCCCAGAGGGTTGGCAAATTTCTAGTGTTTTTAAGCTTAAGAGAAGGATTCCAGATAGTTAACCTCAGGGAAATGGTTTTGAAAGCCTTAAGATACTGTTGGTCTATTTAAAAAATAAAATGAGAGAGAGAGAGAGAATCAAATGCATACCTAGAAGTAAACTTGCAAATAAGAAATGTGAAATGAGAAATCAAGAGGACATGTTCTTACAGCTCTACAACACACAATTCCAGAAGTTCGCCAAAACTTCAGTGGCACTTGAGAATTTTGTGCCAAGACTGAGAAGCGCTTCCAACTGTTGAGTCTGAGGCAATTATCAGGAAGAATGCAAGTTTGCCTGAGGTGAAACATGCAGTATAGTGTGAACTTACCATCCCGCTGTCAGGATGGACCAGGTACCGTGATGAAGTACAAATCAAAACTGATGAAGCCAAGGAAACTACCAACAGAGAGAGCAAAGCAAGAACAAAGATGGAGAAAGAACCAAGGAGCATGAGTAAGAGCAGGAAGGACCCAGATGCACAGCTACAGCCGAGAGGCTTGTGGAGCAGTTCAGA